TGTGTGTATGGCTGGGGTAGAGGGGCTGCGAGAGCTGCTCCCCTTCAGCTGTGGGCTCTGCTGATCAGACTCGAGCCACCAGGTTTAGTGGCACCCGATGGCCCCAGTCATTTTTTGCACTGGGGACTAATTAAACCCTTATACTTGCTAATCAACCACTCTGCAACTGTGCATAGCTCACCAATCCAGAGTCAAGTTTTGTTCCCATATTTTTGAACTTAAATCTCACGCCATCAAAAGCTCACGGTTTGTAGTCCTTCGTCTAGGAGAGGTGACGAGGCAGGTTTTTGGTTGTGAGCCCAGCTTTAACAGCTGAGCCATCTCTCCAGCTCGACAAGGCAGGTTTAATTAAGAGATATTTCAAGACATTTTTACACTTCCATGTCACCGTGACAGAGGCCATGCAGAATTATGCTGACAAAAGCTAATTCCAGCTCTTTGAAAAATCAAAACACGCTGGAGAGATGGCTCAGTGGTTAAGAGCATTGCCTGCTCTTCCAAAGGTCCTGAGTTCAATTCCCAGTAACCACATGGTGATTCAGAACCATTTATAATGGGGTCTGGTGCCTTCTTCTGGCCTGCAGGCATATACGCAGACAGAATATTGTATACATAATAAATAAATATTAAAAAAAGAAAAGTCAAAACGGATACAATAAACATATTTGCATATATGTGCATTTAGAATAAACATATAAATCTGTGTGTGTACACAGGGTTCTCTCCGTTGACCACTCTCTAGATAGGGTCTCAACACCATAGCTCAGGATGCTGAACAGGTAGCAAAGGTGTGAGATATTACCCCTAGCAAAACAGGCACATCAATAAAACAGACTGCACAACAAGTATGTTCCAATTCAAAATAAGCACCTTTAAATGTCTGGTAAACTATAGCTGGATATGGGTCACAGCAATGCTTGACTTTTTCATGAATTCATAATGCCAGAATTCACTAAAGAATTTTTTAAAAGGCCAATTGTGCTGTTCATCTGTTTTCAAGACAAGGACTTGGACTCCTGATCTTCTTACCTCCACCTCTGAGAGCTGGGACTAAAAGTATGCACGCCACGCGTCACAAGCAAACCCAGGGGTTCTGCATGCTAGGCAAGCCCTCTGCCAACTGAACGACATCTTCAATCTAGGTGTTTGTCCTAAGTGTGTGTCTGTGAGGCTCCAGAACATCTGAGGTAACTGGGTTTGGCCTCCACAGCAGGACAAAACCATACTCCACGTGAAAGTCAGCCCAAGCTCTCCACATCATTATTCTCAGAAGTTCTTACCTATAACACAGGATGACTTTCATGATGGTGTTTATTTAGTTTATGTCCTAACAACAGTCACACTTTTCTCCTAGGAAATCTACTTGGGCAACTGCATCTCAGAGAAGAAAACCCAAAAAGGTCAAATATGTTGTACAGATTACATTTGCAAAGGGCTTAATCTACTTATTAAAGGTTGTTATTTTTTAGAAGTAGACAAAACTCAATGGGAGGTAAAGTGCTCTACAGAACAGGTATTTCATTAGAGTCATAGAGACTTAAAAGTTCTCAGCTGGATGCATGACTCATGCCTGTAAATTCCAGCACACAGAAGTGGAGACTGAGGAGTCGCCCTTAGCTAAAGTTAGTGTTAGTCTGAGTAACCCAAGAAAAACTCTGTCTCAAAAAGCCGAACACAAAACCTAACAGTAGAGCAGTTGGGGAAGGCAGTCCCTAACAAATGCTGTGCATGCATCTGCACTTCACACAGGCACTGGCTCAACGGCCTAGTTCACAGCAGGTCAGCACTCTGTGCAAAGAGAGGGTCCTTTTTTCCTCCTTGAGAGAGAAGTCAGTGTGCACCCCAAATATGGTTTTGAACTTGGATAGTCTCTGTCTGTGATTCATGGCACTGAATGAAGAAGAGTAGTGAGCGGTGGGTAGGTAAAGTGGTGTGAGAGCCTTTCCCGGGCCAGGGAGACAGCTCAGTCAGCATGAGAGCCTGAAGTCAACCCCAGAACCCATGGAAAAGAGAAAGCCAGGTGTGGTGGCATGCATTTTTTTTGTCTGCCTGTTTGTTTGTTTTTGGTTTGTTTATTTTGTTTTGATTTTTTGAGTCAGAGTCTAACTATATACCTCTGGCTATCCTGGAACCAGACTGGCCTTGAACTCACATAGATCCAACTGTCTATGCTGGGATTAAAGGCATGAGCCACAATACCAGGCCTAGTAGCATCTGTTTGGAACACCAGTACCGAGAATACTGAGATAGGTTGATAACTGGAGCTAACTTGCCAGTCAGCCCAGCCTACCTGGCAAGTTCCGGGCCAAGAGGATGGCACCCAAGGAACGACATCTGAAATTGTTGTGTGGTGTAAACACACACAAACACACAACACACACACACACACATGAGAAAGAAGTTCGTCCGTCCTTCCTTCCTTCCTTCCTTCCTTCCTTCCTTCCTTCCTTCCTTCCTTCCTTCCTTCCTTCCTTCCTTCCTTCCTTCCCCAGTTTAACACAAAGCCCCACCATTTCCAAAAGCAGAACCTTTTGGGGGAGGGGCAGGGACACTGAGACAAGGAAGCCCTCATAGCCCAGGCTGGTCCTGAACCTGCGGTGCAGCTGAGGATGACCTGGAACTCCGGCTCCTCTGGCTTCTCTCTCCCAAGTACTGGGATCACAGACACCTGGACGTCCTTCTGTCCTTTCCTAAGGTTAAACCGACCGTGTGTGTCTAGGGAACCACTGTCTGTCCCTTCCCTCCATACAAGCACACATAGGGACACGAGTTACAGTACACTACTCAAAAAGAGCTAGTGGGAATTATCAAAAACCCTCTCATACTTACATCCAATTCCTTGCTGTACCAGAACGAGTGCTTTAAAGAAAGCTCATGGAGGGGCTGGAGAGTTGGCTTAGCTGTTCGGAGAACTTGCTGCTCTTGCAGATGATATGGAGGCTTACAATACGCTTGTAACCCTCTTCTGG